GTGTATCTGATTGTGTACAATAGGATTTTGAGCAAAGTTTTTACCATTAAATTTTGCAAAAGGTGTCAGACGCAAAACATTTCAGAAACCTTACGTATCAAATATGACACGTTTTAAATTATACGATTATGGAGCAACACTGAAATGAATAAATTAGGAGACGTATTATCGGAGCATTAAAAACGCCACACGTATCCTGAGCAAAAAACCTTATTTTTTTTATTTCTCGTTGAAAGGAACTCGGTAGAATATTACAGCAGAACACACATGACTGAAACAGCTGCCATTTCACGTGACACAGTACAGGAAGAAGGATGTAGTTATGTGTAATATCACATATATATCTATATTTATAACAATAGAAAAGGAAAAAACTATTGCTCCCATGTTTTGTTGTTTTTCTTTCTCGTATGGCATTTTTCTGCTGTGTTGACGTGGGTTAAGTAAAATTCAACGAGAGGTTTACACACCAAAGGAAGTGGGACAATGAAAGTGACGTTTTCCCCAAAAAACAAAAATCCGGGGAACTCTGTGGCTTTTTTTTTTCGTCTTTCACTATTAGGCTGAGAAGTAAACTTTTTTTTTTCTATTGCAATAGAGAAATAAAACTTGAATCTGCTCTAAAAAAAAAACAAAAAAAACAACAAAAAAAACAAATGGATAAATACCATTATACAGCAACCAGAAAATGCAAAAAAAAAACGAACACAAGGCGGCTCCTCGTGAGAGCTGGCATGCAAAAAAAAAAAGGAGATAATATTCTTAAAAAGGAGCACTAAAGACGTAAAGATGGTTGTGAAACGAGGGGAGAACTGGACGCTCTGTAAAGTGAACTGGAGTGCTGAGGATTACTTTAATAAGGTCGTCTTTTTAAAATTGCTATGACATACTGTGTAATCAATTTGCTGTACTCTTCAATTTCCTCTAAGGAATAAATGAAATGTTAGGAAATAAAACAAAAAAACAAAAGCAGGTATGAAATATCACCCGGATCTTTTGAATCCGAGTTTAGTGTTTTAAATAAGCCACTTTAGGCAGCGTTATCTAATAAATGTCTCACATTTCTGAGACATATTTCAATACATCTCCTTTGAAAAATAATTCTATCTATGCTTGATTTTTTTTTTTTTTTAGTTAATAAATTCCTTTCTATATATATATATATATATATATTTATATATATTTTTTTCTGTAGGTACAACATCCCATTTAGGGTTTTTTTTTCTTTTCCAAAAGCACCTAATTGTGTTTGTTACAATCAGACTGAGCGCGGCGTCAGTCGTTAACGGTCTAAAGTTCAAGAGTAGAGGATCCAAAACGGTGCGCCCTGTGAGAGTTCGAGCCCGGCTCCCGGTTGACCTTTGACCCCGGCCTCCGAACGGGCTCAGCTGCAGCGGCTCGTTAAAAAGATGCAAAAGATGCGGAAAGATGCGCACCCAGAACCTCTGAAAGGATGATGCACAGGCACAGGTAACGCAGATATATAACCCCCTATAACCCCCCCCCCACCAGGTTCAAAACAGATGGGGATTTTCCAGCCCTGAGACACGGCGAGCGGCGTGAGGTCAGCACCTGAGGGAGAAACCGGGAGGGGTCAAGGGTCACGAGGGAGGTGGGGGTTGGGGGTCATCGTTTGGACTCCATCATGATGGCGAGGGGCGAATCCAAACGGGTCGCGTTGTGCTTGAGACAGATCCCAACGTGGACCCGCTCCCGTCTCCGTCAGACTTAATCTGCTGGGCTACATGTGAGGTTATCAGCGGGAGAAATCCATACATATACATATATATATATATATAAATTCGTGGATTTATATTTAAATATATATAGACATTTTCATCAGAGGGGGGAATCTCATACGGGGAAAGCTGTCCACACTCAAGTTAGCTAGAACATCCACCTAAACTTTTTAGAACATGATTCTCTTACATAAACAGTGATTTTTTTTCTCAGTCAAATATACTTTTTTTTTGTCGTTTGTTACGTTTACTCCGTCGTTTTAGCGTTTTTTTTTATAGTTCGATTCGTCATGCACAAGATAGTCGTTCCTCTCTCTCTCTCTCTCTCTCCGGGCTTTTGCATCATTTCGGGAGCTTAAGGAAAGAAAAGGAGGGGATCAGTCGTCGTCCACGTCCTCTCCCTCCGACTCGTCCCCGGTTCTCCGCTCGTACATCTTGTCCCGGTGCCTCTCCTGGATCTCCTTCATCTCCTCGGCGTAGCGGCTGAAGGCCCCTCCGAACTTCCCCCAGGCCTTGAAGGGGATGGTGATAGAGTTCCTGTAGCTGGGCTTGACCTCGCTCACCCGCAGGAAAACGCCGTACTTGTTGGAGCCCACGTCGAAGAAGAAGCGCTTGGAGTCCACCATGATGGAGGTCCCCTCCGGTAGCTCCCCGTACCCCCCACCTGCTCCCCCTCCGCCCCCCCCCAGGTCCTCGTCCTCCCCCCCGTAGTCGTCTATCAGCTTGGCCAGGGCGTCCCTGAACTCGATGAGGCCCTGGGCCGGCAGGGCGATGGTCTGCCCGGCCTGGAGCCCGGATCCGGGCAGGCCCCCCACGCCCACGCCGAACCCCGGCCCCCGGTTCACGGTCTGCCGGATGCGGAGGAACCTCCCCCGCTGGTTCTCCTTCAGGTCCAGGTAGTACTTGCGGTTCTCCCGGACCAGGAACTCGCTCTTCAGGGCCCGCCGAGGCCCGCCCTGGCCGTCCTCGCCCCCGGCCGCGGCCTGGGCCACTTGCTCCGGCGTGCTGGGCCCCAGTTGGGCGTAGTGCTCGATGAAGTCGCCCAAATAGTCGCGGAACTCGGCGGCCACCGACATGGAGAGCGTCAAGCGGCTTTTCGAGCCGCCGGCCCCGACCTCGGCGATCTTGATGAACCGGCCCTTGCTGTTCTGCTTCACGTCCAAATAGAACCGTTTGTTCTGAATGTCCAGCCGTTTCGACGCCAGCTCCTGGGTCTCCGGCTCCCGCTGGTAGTGCTGGAAACCGCCGCCTCCTCCACCACCTCCTCCTCCTCCTCCTCCCCCGCCACCGCTGCTGCTACCTCCGCGTTCACTGCCACTGTCCCCATCCGCCATCTTCGCCACCAGCAGCCCGTTTCTCTGCGGCATTGAGATTGTATTGACACTTTGAATTTGTGCCAACAATGTCTGTCTTATGTTCAAAATGTTCAATAAACAAAATTTAAAAAAAAGAAATGAGCAATAAGCTAAAATATAACCGAATAATGACCTTCAATGATTGGAAATGTGATCACTACTTATCTATATACATTTACATTCATGTCTACCCTTTATTGATGTGTTTTTCCCTTTATACTTTTTATTTATTTATATATATATTTTTAATTATCATTTAATTTTTTTATTTGATTTATTTTATTATTTATTCATTTGTTCATTTGTTTATTTTTAAACAAAAATAACAAAAAAATGGCCTGTGGCATTTAGATTGTATTGACACTTTGAATTTGTCCCAACAATGTCTGTCTTATGTTCAAAATGTCCAATAAACAAAATAAAAAAAAAAGAAATGAGCAATAAGCCAAAATATAACCGAATAATGAGCTTCTCTGATTGGAAATGTGATCACTACTTATCTTTAATACATTTACCCTCATGTCTACCTTTTTTTGATCTGTTTTTCTCTTTATACTTTTTATTCATTTATATATATATTTTAAATTATCATTGAAATCTTTTTTAAACTTATTTAATTATTTATTCATTTGTTTACTTGTTTATTTTTATTTATTTTTTGGCCTGTGGCATTGAGGTTGTATTGAC